TTCCGCTCTTCGCAGCGCCAGCAGCCGGTCCCGGTTGTAAACAATGGGAGCGCGCGGGCACATCTTCGTTCACATGTATAATACACGTTTATGATGAGGAAAACAGTAACAGTTTTCAGAATTATATGTTAAAGTTTTCATGACAAAAATACTGTTTTAATGCGATTGCGGTAAACCCAGAAGTAACAAACATTAATTGAATATTTTTGGACACATTTGCAGAGGATCTGATTATGGATATAGGTTGAGTTTATATTTGGCTCACTCACCGCTGATGTTCACAATTGTTTGATCAGTTTTCATGTAGTTCCACAGCCTGGTGGAGACTTGATTCGGAGGCTCCGTGAAAACAAACAACTGAGGATGCACGCAGCTAAGAGCACGAGCGCACAGCTCTCGTGATGATTGACAGCCCTTGGCATCACTTGATTGGTTAAAGTGGACGGCATTTGCAATTTTGAGCTATAGCTAAGAGAAGGGAAGGCAGGACTTACCCGTAATATTACAATTCTTAAAATGACTTATATCAACATTTAAGCTCAGGAGGTAAATTTAATACAATTCTTAAAATTTGTAATTCATTTAGAGTTAAATTGAAAATATCAATTCAGGAACGAATTGATAGCAGCCAAGTCCCGGCACAGAAGCAGTTTGCAAACAACGACCATGCTTCTGTATTGGGAGGCCTTCGGGAGATTACAAACTACAAGCCCAAAGCCCCCCTCTGTGCTGACGATCACAAGCTGGCTGACGAGCTGAACCTGTTTTTCAGTCGCTTTGACACCACCCCGGACATCATCAAGTTCGCGGACGACACCACCCTCATTGGACTCAACTCCAACAACGATGAGTCCGCCTACAGGAGGGAGGTGGACCGGCTGGTGTCTTGGTGTAGTGGTAACAACCTGGAGCTGAACGCCCAGAAGACGGTGGAGATGATTGTCAACTTCAGGAAGAGCACAGTCCCCCCGCCCCCCGCCCTCCCTGATTATCTGGAGATGGGTTCCCGGGCGCTGTACGACGGCGACCACAGCTCCTGACGTAAGCCTTTGCGGGCATCAGGATGGGTCAAATGCAGAGGATGAATTGCCCTACAGGGATCAATAAAGTGCACTTTATTGATCCCTGTAGGGCAAAACCTATACCCTTTACCTCCCACTGTACGCAGGCGTACGCACTGGCGGACCAGAACGCTGTACCTGAGCTGACTCATTGGCTTTGGAGAGGAGTACAACCTTCATTACTTTTTTTTGGTGATAAATAGTATTTTTAATTGGGACCCTTTCCACATTAAAACATTTCTTGTATCAATAAATTGTTATTCCTATTATTGTGTTGCATGTTTATTAAGTGCTCCCCACTGGACAGTGGAAAGTTACATGGGGCTCTCTGCCCCTGTGACATTATCTTATACCAATTCATTATCATGACATGTGTAAGAATAATAAAACGGCAACAAGAATTTGCCCATCCTTCTGATAGCAATTGTTGTGTGTGGCTCATGGACTAATTGGGGAAAACAGGTTTTGAGCTGGAAATTGATGTACAAGTTTGTTTCAACACTCTAGGCGCTGAAGCATGAGCTCCTGAGTCCAGAAAAGATTCTATACAGAGGATCCTGGCTTCACAATGTTCTCGCTCTCTTTTTAAAATTAATTTCTGATCTTGTTTGTAGACCTCTGGTTCTGAAACAGTAAAACATTGTACATAACCGCACACTCTCTTTGTAGAAAATAGACTTTATTATGATGTCACATCCCTCTTGGATGTTCACAGCAAAATACTCTACAGCAGTCAGTGTGGTCAGTGCGGTCAGTGCACCTGTGATAAGTGTCCCTGTCAGTTTTTTTCCCTGTGGTAAGTGTAGTCAGGGTCCCTGTGGCACATGTGCCCTGCCCAGTTTGGTGCATCTTATGTGTCTCTTGAAAAAAGTTACAATGGAAACGCACAATCATAAAAAAATAAAACACACTGTTAGTATTAGGAAAAGGAAAAGTGCAAAAATCCAAAGCTCTAAGTTTAATTTCCTCTATCTTCATTCTGACTCACATGTATGTCAATTCTGCTGCTGATCGTTTAACCTGGGATACCTAACTTTCAACATAAATAACTGCTTGAAAATCCATGTCACGAGTTCCTTCGCTTTTAAATCCGTTTGTTTCCACCAATAGTATATTTGGCCTCTATCACAAGAGAGGACCACCCTCACTCAAATTGTGTCAAATTATAATTCAAAGGGCTTTTTCTTACAAGTTTGCAAGAGAACATTTTCAGGAGCAAAGTTAGGATTTTCCATAACCGCTTCCCTTCCCTGGTCCTTGGGTTCCTTGCCCTCCTCTGGTCCCCTGCACTGACACACACTTTGTTGTTCATTTTTGCGTTGTTTTGTTTCCTGATTTGGTTTGATATCAAATGACAAACACGGAGGACATAGCACAAACACACTTATACATATATATATATATATATATATATACACACAAGTAATGGACAGTGTGGCGATAGGCAGACTTTCTTACAGAAAAGCAGAGGAAAACCAGTCTCAAGGATCATTATTATCAACAATCATCCCCTGCTCTGAGCTACTGGGGCGACAGTAGCTCAGTTGGTAGAGCATTGGCCTTTGAGCCTGAAGGTTGGGGGTTCGAGCCCACCGTAAGACCTACTTCACGACTCCCACTGATGACTGCTGTCGTTGTGTCCTTAGGCAAGACACTTAACCCCACTTTGCCTGAAGCCCCCACTGAAAGATCTCAGCTCCTGTGGACTCACCACCTGCAGGAGGATCAGTGAGGGGCTGGTGCTCTGTGTACTGGGTGGCATCTCTGGCCACCCCCCCGACCCAGAAATGGATTAAGGGGAAGAAAATGGATGGATGGATGGATCCCCTGCTCTTGTCCAAAAAGCTGCACAACTTTGAGGACCATGAACCATCTGAAATGCTTTGTTCCCCAACAAAACTTACCCAGCCCTTGTTATATCTTATGAACCCCCAATGTAAGCGTAATGTCTAATGAAGATATGTCACTGCTGGTGTAACTTGTGAGGCTCATTAAAATGAAAAGCTATTCTCCGTCTGAGCTCAGATGCAATGGTAGGTACAGTATGTAAGGTTTGGCATCTGCATTTGAACCATCTTCCAATGCCACTTTATATATTTAATATATACTCACAGAGCATTGCAAAAGTATCTAAACATATTTTACACATTTTATCATGTTACAACTTCAAAGATTTCATTATGGAGTTTCTTCTGAAAGACCTAAACAAATTAAAAGATAACCGTACAGTGAAAGCTAAATGATACATGATTTTGTTATAAAAAAATAATAAAGTGACTATATACATTTGCATGAAAGCCTACATAATTTTTACCATTAACACGTTTGCACACTTGGTCTTTTTGCACAATCTTTGTGATACCATATAATTGTACATTTCTCCATTGTGTGATCTTATTTCAAATATCGTCTTTATGCAGAATGCACACATCAAGGATTAAACAGACCCCACTTGTGTATAATCTGCTCTCAGTATAATATCAACTGTTCTGTGATGACCTCAGAGCTATGCTTAAAGTGTATGGCTGTATTGTACTGCAGGGCTTTACATGGCTATTGCACTAAACCTAAAAAATTTTTCATGCAATGGAATAGTTTGAAAAAATAAATATGTAGACCCAGTCCAGACCTAAATCCAAGTGAAAATCTGTGAAAACAGCTTCACAAATGCTCTCAATCTATTCTGACAGAGCTTGAGCTGTTTTGTATGGATGGATTTGAAAACCTTTTTGTTTCTAAATTCATGCACCAAAACACTGTGAATTTAGGAAAAGGGGGTTCCAAAAACATATTAAAGATGCAGTCAGGGATTTTTTTCCAGACGCATCTTTTTAAATATTTTGAGAAAACGTCCCTAAACCCTAAAAGTAGTCAAGTTATCATGTGTTTTCAAATAGTAATGGAAGTGACCAGATTCCTATAGTCTCCAAAAATGAATAACAAATATTTTGGAGCGGACCGTCAAAAATAAAGCAATGGGATTCGTTTACCCCCTTCACCCTCTTCCTGTTTCTCGCGCGTGCGCGCACCTGAGTTATCGGATTATTTTCTAAAACCTTAAATGGCTGAACAGAAAATGCCGATTTCACGTTTGCCACCTACTCTCCCGGTTGTGACAAGGAAAAGAAAATACTGGATGTTTGGTTTGGTGAAGAGGCGAGGGGAGGGGAGGGATTGGTTTCGAGTTGGTGCTACGGCTAAGCTTACAAAATCGCTTACTGCTCCTTTAATACTGTATGAATATTCATGCAAACACCACATTTCAGTTTGAGAAAAAAAAAACTTTGTTGTGATCTTCAGTAAAATATTCAAAGTAAAACCTGTGGTCATGATTTGAAAAAATGTGCATACGATTAAGCGATATAGAAACTTTTGCAAAGCACTGTATGTGATTGCATCCCTGGTATGAGTTGGTTTGTCCCCTCATCTCTGTTCACTCTGTGATGGGCGGACAAGTTTCCAGAAGACTTTAGCATTGTTCCAGATACAGATGTTGTGGTTGTCCTTCTCCTCAAAGTATGAGGATGACTCCCAAATCTGTTAATATTGGCTGAGCATACTTATCCAAAAACACATAGCACTTCAGAAGATGCAGTAACACTTGAGTTGTGACTGCCCAGGTCTGATCAGACAAACGGGTGTTTTGCATAAGAACATTATACCACTACTCTCTCTGTCCACCTTATGAGCCTTGCTCAAATGAGTGACTGGAGCTGGAATTGCATCTTGGAATAGATCTAAGAGTATAATCATCATGCATCTCAGGCCTGCAGTTTTAAAAGGACTGAAACATCTCGACTTTACATTGTCATGGAGGACTGAGCACAAATGAGCAGGGAGTAAAACAGTAAGGCATTGGGGCGTCACAATGGCAGTAACTTATATCTGCTAGCCATGCAGATACAAGCCCTCTACTCAAAGCCCTCTTCTGATTGGCCTTTACGTTGGTGGGCCCCGAGTGCCCTGATTGCTCTTCCTATGGTCTGGACTGGCTCTGCTCCGGTCCTGGACTCTCTTGTGGTCCGGACTGGCTCTGTTCTTGACTGGAACCATCTTGTGGTCTGGACTAGCTCTTGGGACTCTGCAAGCCCCTGGACTATGCATGGACAGGTTCCCAGTCAGAGCGGTGTCGTGGATTTGCTTCATGTTCTCCTGCACCTCAGCCTTAGCGTGCATCAGCAGGTCAGCCTGGCCCTGGGGGAAGGACACACACACACACACACACACACTCAGTGAGTACGTTTATGAAGTAAAAAATACAGATACTCGGCATTGCTTCAAACCACTGTAAGGTCAACTCAAACCCGGATTTGAACCTTGGGCCTTTTTGCTGTGAAGAGAGTGCTATTCTGGCCTGGTGACGCTTGCCATAGTGCTCAAAATTGGGAGGATTATCAGCTCCAGGGGTGGCAAACACGAGGCTCTCTGGATTAATCAGAATTCCTATTAAGTGTGGCTATTTGTCTCACTTTGTTACATTTTCTTAAAATAATAATAACCCCCAATTGATTTGGAAGTGTTAAGTACAAATAATGGTTTACATTATAATGTCTTTGTTTCCAAAACATGCAGAAAATGTTATGTTTGCTTTGTACGGTGTGGAATAAATATAAAAACAAAACAAAAAAACATCCAGGCCAGTTTGTAAAACAGTGTCTCGTGGATGTAATTGAAATCATGGCTCCAGATAATAAGTCACTGGAGTAGTATATACATATATAGAGGTTCTTTTTTCAATTAGTCTTGTTATTAAAAACCAACCGGTCCGAGTGCAGAAGCCTTGGTTGGGTTGGCACCGTCAATTCCTTCATTTCAGTATACCCTAGGCCAGGGGTCGGCAACTCAGAAGGTTCAAAGCTTATTTGACAAAAAACTAAAAACATCTGTCTGCAGCCGCAAATTAAAAAAAACAGCCTTGTACCATGCCTTGGAACAGTTGTATAAATTGGCCAGAAATTTTGGATTCATTCTGGAATCAGAAACATCAGTACATTTCTACATTTAAAAAACATTGCCAGAATTAAAAATTGTGTTAAAAGAACACTTATTTATGCATTTGTCTCTAGTCAGGGTGACAGTAGCTCAGTTGGTAGAGCATTGGCCTTTGAGCCATAGGGTCGTGGGTTCGAACCCGACCTTCACCATCGACTCCCACTGACTGCTGTCGTTGTGTCCTTGGCAAGACACTTAACCTCTGGGAACACCTGATTCCACAGTGGGGCGGCTGTGGCTGTAAAGTGCCAAACTGCTGTTGTGTCCTTAGGCAAGACACTTTACCCCCCTAGAATGAGTCTGGTGTGTGTGTGAATGGTTGGTGGTGGTCGGAGGGGCCGATGGCACATACTGGTTGCCTCGCTTCTGTCTGTGTGCCCCAGGGCAGCTGTGGCTACAGTAGTAGTTTATCACCACCGTGTATGGAGTGAATGAATAATGACATGTAAAGTGTCTTTGAGTGTCCAAAAAAGTGCTATATAAAACTGATGCATTATTAATTGGTTGGGCTAATGTAAGAGCCTTCTCACTGGGCTCTCCAAATGGACTGTAAAACAGCAGCACTGTATTGCTGCAGCTTGATCCTGACAAGGACTCTTGCTTGTGTGCAAGTCTCACCATGGCCTAGCACCAAAGTACATGCGACATGTTGTTCCATATGTCTGAGGTGAAAAGAGTCATGGGGAGGCAGAATTTTAGATTCATGGAGCTAAGCTAGCATTTGGAAGCATTTGAGTCTTTCTAAAAATGTGAGACAGGGGGGAGACCCCTGTGCACAGGGACCCCAACAGCATTGCGCAAATGCTCAGCTTAGAGGGAACACTGCTGGTCAGCACCTTGAGGATGGTGATGTTCCAACTGAAGCTCTCCAGGGCTCTGCTGACCTTCCGGCCCCTCAGCCCCTCCCTCGTGGCCATGGCTTGAAGACCCTCGTGGAAGTCCATGGCTAGAACACAACAATGTCCATGTTAAAACCTGCTTTAGTGCCATCTGCCATCTGCTACACAGTCCTGGTTATGAGCTGCTTCAGTCCCGTCTCTGATATCTGTATGTAACAGTGGTGTTATTTGTTATGAAATGCAGCCAGCGAAAGTTCAATTTGGTAGACGTTAACCAAATTTACCCCTCCAGGCCGGCTCTCATCCCCAGCCTATCACTCAGCAGACGCCCCCTTCCAATCATCTGTACCGACTCGCAGCCGCATAAAAACGGAGCAACGCCCACTACCGGCCTCCTGAAGCCTTGCAAAGAATCGTTCTGGAGGAATCGCTTTTGTCTACTCACGCTTACTCGTGCGTGTCCCTGCTGTCCTCTGTCTTGCTGCGTGTGGTCTGCTCCTCCTGTGGCTGCACCTGCTGCGGGTCTCGTGCTGTGGTCCGTGGGTCTTTGCCGCTCTCCTCCTTTGCGGGCTCTTTCCGCGGGTTTGCCGCTGTTGTCTCGTCGCGGCCTGCTGCTGCATACGGCCGGTCTAGCCCGGTGCGGTGTGAGCCGTGCGCATCCCTGCCTCCTTGTGCCGGTACGGTGTGGTCCCGTCGTGTTGTCCCTTGTCTTCTGGCGCTGTGGGTAAGTATGAGATCCGCGGACGGTTTATTCCCCTCGCATTGTCCTGCAGGCTCAGTTGGCCCCGTGCTGGTGGGCAGGCTTCAGTTTAAAGCCCTCGCATTGGTCTGCAGGCTCTCTTTAACCAAGCTCCGTTAAATCTTCACTCTGACTGCAAGCTCCGTTTAATCCCTCACATTGGACTGCAAGACCTCAGTTTTAATCCCTCTCATTGGACCGCATGCTCTCAGTTTTAATCCCTCACTTTGGCCTGCAGGCTCTGTTTAAATCCCTCTCTGGACTGCAAGCGCTGTTTAAATCCCTCACATTGGACCGCATGCTCTCAGTTTTAATCCCTCACTTTGGCCTGCAGGCTCTGTTTAAATCCCTCCCTGGACTACGAGCTCTGTTTAAATCCCTCTCTTTGGACTGCAAGCGCTGTTTAAATCTCTCTCGGACTGCGGCTCCCAAAATGAATCCCTTACATTGGTCTGTGAGCTCTCAGGTTAATCCCTCACGGAACTGTTATATCTGGAAATGCCTATATCTGGAAATGCTTATAGCTGGAAATGCTTATATCGGAACTACTTATATCTGGAACTGTTGTACCGTATCTGGAACTGCTTCATATGGAACTGCTTTTATATGGAACCGCTATATTGGAACTGCTCATATGGTACGGTTATACCTGGAACTGTTATGCAGTACATGGAACTGCATATATGGTACTGCCTATATCTGGAACGCTATATTTTAAAAATAAATAAATGAATAAATAAATACATATAAATAAACATATATAAATAATTATAAATAAATATAAATAAATATAAATAAACATAAATAAATATAAATAAATATAAATAAATTTAAATAAATAAATGAATAAAATTAAAAAATAGTTTAAACTCCTCACTTGGACTGCGGGCTCAGTTAATCCCTCACTTGGACCGTAAAACTGTTAAATCACTTGGACCGTAAAAAACCTGTTGAAATCCCTCACACTGAACAGCTACAACAACATTCTACTGCCGTGGCTTTGATACGGGATCATTGCTGTTATTATCTACGGACGCTGCAGCTGCTGCTGCTGCTACTGCTGCTGCTGCTTCATACGGCTACTACTGCTGCTGCTGCTGCTCCATACTGCTACTGCGCTACTACTGCTGCTTCATTTACTTGCCATCTCTCTTCACTTGCATCTCTTTTACTGGAACACTGATCAGCTACGACAACATTCTACTGCTGTGGCTTGATACAGGATTATTACTGTAATCTCTAAGGATGCTGCTACTGCTGCTGCTGCTGTCGCGGCTTGATACAGGTTATCGCTGTTATTATCTGAGGTACTGCTGCTGCCGCTGCTGCTACCGCTACTGCTGCAACCCACTCTCTCAGAAGCTTATCCTGTTTCTAATGGATGCTGCCCGGCTGAGTATGCCGGGCCGCGCTGGCCTCGTACCTATGCTCCCAGGGTCGCTTCGGCGGTCATGCTTCATCTCTCTACCTCATCTTCTGATTCTATCAGATGCAGCCGGCCGAGTAGCTGCGCTGAGCCGTCAATCGGACTCCTAATCAAAGGCATCCATACCTGTATTCTTCACTCTTCTGATCGCAGGCTCCCCCATCGTGCTGCCCATCCGGCAGCGGCTCTGAGCGGCACTGAACTCTGGCTCGTCTTCCAAGTACATGTCTGCCCTCCTCGCAGCATCTTCCTGCTCGCCTTCTATGACTTCTCTGCATAAGCGTTTCACTACTGCACACTCAACCTTCATGCGGTCCGAGACGCGGCTTCCCGACCATCCTACTATCCTGATTATCTACTCTCCAACCCAAGATTCTAAGCGTAAGGGCGCCTGCAACATCAATGGCCCTCTCCAACATGTCTCTGCCCTTACAGGTCTCCGCTTCTACACGGACGTGCCCCTTCCGTGGGTTTTGGGGGATTCTTCCAGGACCATTGGGTTGCCGGGCCGTGGCCGCTACTTCCACCGGAGCATCTCCTCTGCCCTACACGAGATATTCCCAGTGGTCGTGGCTGCGCGCCGTGGAATCACACGTGGCAGAGAAAGAGGATCTCTGTCATGCGTGATAATCTCAACGTAGTGGAAGCATCACACAAAGGTCGCTCCTTTCACCCAACATAATGTCCCCTGACCCTTTCAACCTCCATCTCAAACATTCAAAGACCAAGGCGCCTGCAACATAATAATAGCTCGCTCCGACACATCTCTCTCCAGACAACCTTCCCATGACAGCAACCTGGTTCAGAGCCCAGCTAAGATCCCTACTGCTCCTCTGCAATTTGTCTCCCCAGCTCCATACAGCCCACTCCTTCAGGATAGGCGCTGCCACGCGCGCGGCCTCGCTGGGGCTCCCCCACCTCTCTCCAACAGCTGGGGTGCTGGTCCTCTTCGGCTTTCTCCGCCTACATCAGCCCAGACGCGTCCGCCATCCTGGCTGCACAACGCCTACTGGCTTCCTCGCAAGCTCCCAGCAAAGCAATACGAAGCAAAGTAAGTGAAGCAATAAGATTCTGGTGGCGGCACGCACTTCTCAAACACTCTCCGCTGCCGCAGCGTCTGACGGAACGTGATGCGAACGCTCACGTCCCAGCGCGCAAAGATAACCCACGATGCATTACACTCGCCTCCGCTCTTGGAAAGGAGATCTCAACGGACCGTTATTTTTCACCCCCGATCACCTCCCAACGTCATCCAACGGGTTCAGAGCCCAACTAAAGTCCGTACTGCTGCTTTGTAACCTGTCTCCCCATCTCTACGCAGCTCACTCCTTCCGGATAGGCGCCGCCAGCAGCCGAGTATCCGCAAGTATTGATCACAGTAGATAGCGGTCACAGCATATAGCGATAGCGGTCACAGCATATAGCGATAGCGGTCACAGCATATAGCGATAGCGGTCACAGCATATAGCGATAGCGGTCACAGCATATAGCAAAAAATGGTTAGCAGCATTGCGCTGGCGGTCACAGCATAGCGATAGCGGTCACAGCATATAGCGATAGCGGTCACAGCATATAGCGATAGCGGTCACAGCATATAGCAATAGCGGTCACAGCATAGCGATAGCGGTCACAGCATAGCGATAGCGGTCACAGCTTAGCGATAGCGGTCACAGAATAGAGTAGTCACGACGTCTGTCCCCTCCAAACCAGGCTTCGAAAAACTCCATCAACACGCAGCCTTTTTGGGGATTGTGCGCGCTCATCGCAGGAGCCTTTCCGATCCGAAGGCCGCACCGGGACCTAGGGCGCCAAACCTCCTTTCATAAAATACTCAACTTCCTGTTTCTCGTCTCTCCTCCAAATTGAAATGCAGCCAGCGAAAGTTCAATTTGGTAGACGTTAACCAAATTTACCCCTCCAGGCCGGCTCTCATCCCCAGCCTATCACTCAGCAGACGCCCCCTTCCAATCATCTGTACCGACTCGCAGCCGCATAAAAACGGAGCAACGCCCACTACCGGCCTCCTGAAGCCTCGCAACCACCGCCTCCCCTCCTCCTCCTCTTCACCCTGCCTCCAATCTGCCTTCAATTTTCTTCCCGCTGCCAAATGCCGCCACCAGTGCCTAGGTCCCGGGGGATTGTGCGCGCTCATCGCAGGAGCCTTTCCGATCCGAAGGCCGCACCGGGACCTAGGGCGCCAAACCTCCTTTCATAAAATACTCAACTTCCTGTTTCTCGTCTCTCCAAATTGAACTGCATGCATGTATGTGCGCTATCATGTCTCAGTCGCAGGTGAAGGAACGCAGATTTATACAACTTTTAGATGACTCTTCCAGGCAGCTTCTTTACCTGCGGCTGGAACAGAGCATGTACGCACGGACCGTTTGTGGATTTGATGAAATCATTCGTATAACAACATTCCCGTACAATGAGAATAAAGTCGTTTTCTTTTCATATTAATGTCATAGTCAGTGTGCTCCAAGGCAGCTGAGGCTTCAGTAGTAGTCTCTCACCACCGTGTATGGAGTGAAAGAATGATGACAAGTGAAGCGTCTTTGAGTGTCATGAAAAGCGCTATATAAAACCGATGCATTATTACTATTGTCAAAATAACAATGACACAAATATACAAAGGCCTTCTCCGTTCAGAGTTCATAGAACCTCTCAATGGATTTACTCTTTTCATTTAGTCTTACACTGTTGGTGTTCAATGTTTTATAGATTTACTCATGTATATGCTCTCTCCCAGCCACAGATGAAGGAACTGCATCTGTAAATTGTTGTATAAATCTGCATTCCTTCACTGCAACTGAGACACAATAGAGCGCATACGTGCACTCAGTTCATAACAAATAACTCCGCTGTTGCATTAGGTCATCAGTTTAAGAGTATATAAAAGCATATGGAAACATTTAGCTGCTTACAAATCGACTGAATTATTCTGATTGTTATCTCAAAACATAATAAAGCTATTACACTCTCTATAATTTCACATGGATCGGCATAAGCCCAGGTATCTGATCAGGTGGATCAGTGCATTCCTAGCTTTTTCAGAACATATTATTTCTACATATACACAGACATTAGTATTCGTATACAGTAGGACTGTCAAAATTATCGCGTAATTATTTTTTTTATTAATTAACGCATGCCCGTGTATCCCATAATAACACTCAGAATGCCACGGACACGTGTGTGTGTAAGATGGTGACAGAGCAGGTCTCTGGGAATTCAAGTTTTAAAAAAATACACTTTCCCTGTATGAACTCTGCGAGCTGAGTTGCGGGCGCTCTGTACAGCGGTTCCTCCAGCGGCTGTGATCACGGCAAACGGCGCCGAGTAACATGATCATAGCCAAGACCACGCTCAGAACTATTCTCTGATTCTAGTGCGTGAATACAGCGCAGAAGCTGGACTACGGAGCCTCAGTCTCCTCCGTGTCTTCTCCCGAAGCGCACTCGCTAAAATAAAGCTGGGGTACCTAATTTTCCCTTCCACTACCAGTTCATGACAGATGTAATGACATTCTGCATTTCAGACTGTTTTGAAATGTCCCTCATCTGTAACAAACAATAGTTTTGGTCTAAACAGAAAGACAGAATGCTAATAATAGATTATTTTGTAGAAGTAATCCCTGTGACAAATGAGGGAGCAATTATTTTTAAACATGAAATGAATACAAATATCCCTGTGTATAATTTATCAATAAAGCAACGTCAAAATGAGCATACATATAGCGCGCACACAGCTGTAAAAAGTTAAAGGAAAAGTACTTGAAATGAATTCATGAGCCAAGTGCTGCTCATTTGGAAAACAACGCTGTGAATCATGTTTACTGTCAGTGTGGAACTGTGTGTGTGTTTTCTGAGAATCGTCACACTGTGGTCTCTAGTTCAGTACGGAGGCTGCAGCTTGATGACACAACACGGTCATGCTTTTTCTGCACACAGTGGAATATGGCAGTTGCCGATTGTGCAAGTTGTCCCACTTCAAGAAGAGATCCTGTATTCGTCCAACAGTGGGGAAATTTCAGTATTGTGTCATAAGTTACAAAACAGTAGGAATGAGAAGCACACAACATTAAGTGAACATTAAGTACAGCACAAACATATTTCATACAATCTCTATATTTAGCTCGATAAAGAAGCAATACAATAATGTTTACTCTAGTTCAAGAAATGTATACTTCCATAGATAAATCTGTAGTAGAATATTAATGGAGTAAGTCATTCGCTCTGATGTTCAAGTGTTCGCATTGATAGTAATACTGTACAGGTAAGCAGCGGTCCTTAATTTTCATTATAGGTACACACACAACAACTCTTAGTGAAAAATGTGAAAACAAAAACAATCCTGGTAATAACACTTTTAACAATAAAAACAATTCAACTCAGTATTATCTTGCCAATTAAGGCTGCATTACAGAGGACTGAACCAGAGCGTCTGGTGAGTGTTTGAGGCGTGACAGCCGATGCAGATGTGTGTGGTTCTGATTATTGTACATTGGAATTTAAATAAATTTTACTAAAACACACTAAAATCAAGTGGCCACAGAGACACACTGCGATAGTGTTCTTTTGATGGCTCATTGTGAAACCAGCTGGGAACCGTTTAACAGTTTCAAGTAACCGACCAAAAAGGGTTGGTTTGTTCTGGTACCGTAAAAATGGAAAATTGTTCAATGCCAATTTTCCATTCTTTTGGTTTTTAATGTAGGAATTATCTTAACTAGAAAAAGCATGGCAAAAAAATGATTCTAATTCTGATTCTGATTACAAACAGGGACTAAATTATGTTCACGTGCTATTCTATTAAATGGTATTTTACTTAATAAATGAGATTATCAATTAAAACAAAAATAAATCTCCCGACTGCATAAACGGTGCAGTTAAGTCACTAAGAATTAACTCCAAGAACAAGCAATTCATTCTTCAATCAAATGTTGGCACACACCTTTTCAACACTTTCAACACCAAATTCTAGAAAGTATACCTCATTACTATTACTATTACTCGTTACAAATGCAATTACTACAGCTGCTTTAACTTTTGACACTTGTGCTTTACTTTCCCCCATTTCCATTGGGCCAGTTTAACAGATTCAACACATTCAACTTTCAACATACAGGAACACATTGGGAACCTTTCAACATGTTAGTACCCTCCAACATAATAGCAAGATTAAATCTGGAGTTTTCCCTTTTTTCCTGAATATATTACTTCCAAAAAAAGGAACTGTTGAGGAATCAGCACTAAAATACAGGTATCAAAAAAATACCTGTCGGAATTCTTAAGATAAACTTCTGTGGTAAAATGGGATTCATATCAGAAGGATGCAACTCAGAAAAAGTACTTGTATGTTTTGTTTAAAATGCATCTGTGCATCATAGTATTTTGGCAGCAGTTAAAGTATGTGTTACGAAGCACAGTTTTTTCGCTTACAGACTTATGGAAGATGTTACCTGTGTTCTGGATATGGAAGATCCTCTGATGCAGACCGTCAGACTGCTCCATCACTGCCCGGAACGCCTGCACCATCTGTAAACCACACACACAACATTAAGGATGACTTTCTAGCTCACATTCACACAGGGAGAACATCCAATGCTGGTGAAGGGCCATTGTGAGACAGATTACTTTTACCCTACTGATGTCATTGTAATAGTATCAAGAGTTTTCATGTTCTAAATAGTATAGGGCTGTATTTAGTTTGATAACCGATTAGTTGCAGATTATTCTTTCAATTAATTGTGTTTTAGATCCTGAAAAGTGAATTAATGTGGGCTTTTTATCCATGAGACAACTTTTGTTAGCTGAGTCCTAAAACAGTATTACATACAGTATTTTCAGCAAGTCTATGTAAGGCTAAAAAAGCCGAATAATTGATGACTATACTATTTGGTTTTCTAGTGTTCCAGTGTGCAGGAGATGGTGCAGCATGTGGCTCTCATGCACGTGCACAGACGGACTCGGCCGCGCTCTGACCAATCAGAGCTGCTGATCAGAGCAGAGCTAGAGCGGGAGTTAGAGCGGGAGTTAGAGCGGGGGCCAAACAAGCAGAGTTTGGGGCACTAAAGTGTGGATTTAAAGAAAACAATAATAAGAAAAAAAGTTCAGGATGACAAGGGGCAATAAAATCCCCACAAAATAAGACCATTATGAAAGCTGTAAGTTCTCTGTCAGCTGAGGTCGAGCTGTTTTAGTTTATATTGAGTTCTATGCGAACATTTCTGGGTAGCCCACGTGAATTTAGTCTTGTTTAGTCTGCAGTACCGCAAGAATCCCGCAAGCACATCAGCTCCAAGCTAGTAATACCCTATCCAGTTATTATAATAGATCCATTGTACTCATGCAGAACAGGAATTCTGGGCACATACACGAGATGCACGTGGAGTGGCGCCGCCTTGTGGCCAGGAGCAGAAAATACACTAAAGCAATCTAAAACATGTTACCATATTTATGACTTTTAACTGAAAATAATTATATAAAATGAAAGCAATATATATAAAACAAACTATATGAAATTAAAAAATATCGGGGGGTGTCTAATATTCACTATGCCCACATAGAACAGGCGAGGGCAATGATGCCAATTGAATGATGTAATGATGGGCACTTGGAGGATCCGCCTACCAAAGACAAGAATGCTGCTCCAAAAAAGTTTTCACTGGGAATATACGAGCTCTCTGAACTCGAAAAGGCAGCCCATTTGTTGTCACTAAACGGCTTGGTGATGCTGGCGGTGATGGGCACAGCAGACCCCGCATTTCTTTTCACTCACATATTTCTGCGACAGCTTCCAGCACCCGTTGTGACCAGTTAAAAAACTACAACAACAACAATTTATTCTTGTATAGCCCTAAATCACAACAGCAATCATCTCAGAGGACTTAACAAAACCATTGAAATCACCAACACAGATCAGAGAATCAACAGTTAGGACAAAAAATACACATATGAATTGGTCCATAGGGAGAGACCAATGTCCATGAATGTTGATAAATGTCCACACATGTTGTAGAACGTTTAAGTGTTCTGGATCATCCCCACAGTCCTTCTAGTTGGACACTAACTGTCCAACAGACAGTTCACAATAACCCAGTGGGAAAAAAAGTGAGAAACCTCGGGGAGACCCACATATCGAGTAAGGGATCCGCTCCTACACGGACGGACGGGCTTATGATCCAGGACCTAAGCTACAGAACGAGGACCAATGCCACGCATCTATCTGAAACATTACAACATGAAAACCTGCGGCTTATATTTAAGTGTGGCCTATATGTGGACAAAATGTAATTAATATGTTGCTGATGCAGCACGCTATATTATAATCTATAAAGTTCGATACTAATTTTTTTATAGGTTCTTTGAGATCCAAGTGAAAGTCAGAAAATGGTCCATCCAACATATACTGGATACTGTTTTGTATCCTTACAAAATAGGGTTTCCAAATAAATTCTGTTCTTTTGTTAAAGTATTGTGCATTTAGACATATTTTATCATTCTTCTTTTGTTTTCAGCCCTGTTTATCCACTTCACAGGATTAAGTCTGGAGCAGTAGCACTTAATCTCTGAGCGCACAGCAGTATTCTAATGTTGGGCTTGCTCAGTGCTCAGTGCTGAGCCTGGGCCGAAGTGACAAATGGTGAAGGCTTGATTAAAATGTCAGAGAGCGTCTGCAGGAGACTTCATCATACTGCACTGACTAGGACTAAGCACCAATACATCAGCAGAAGTAAAGTGGGCCCATGCAGTGCGACAGTGAGGAAAGCTAAATACTTCAGATCCACCATGGAATGAAGGCGGTAGATATTAAGAAAACGCATCTTGTGTTGCATTGTTTCAAAATGATCTTCACAACATGCAATTTCTCCCTTGCATGCAATTGGTATACAGTTTGTCTCTTTGAGTGTGGTGGAATATCCAAAAGTGGAGGAAGGAGTGGCGTAACTGAACTCTGCTCAGGCTGATTGACCTCATGATGCTACTGTATCCATAATTCACAGCTTGGTGTGTCACAGATACAACAACAGGCAAAAGGCCACGAAGAGTCGCTGGGTTTGGGCTGTTGGACTGGGTTTCAACTAGCCTGGCCTTAGCCATCCGTACACTTCAGTCAATAATTATTTCACTGCATGTAACGTCTGGGTCTGGTCCCTGTGTTTGGGATTACATCGGTTGAATTCCATCCAATCAGCGAGCGCGGGAGGTAGGTGTTTGCGCCGAACGGGCTGGTTGTAGTTTGGCAAAGGGAAAGAATGCAATAGTAAAGTATTCCGGTCTGGTTCTATCAAGAAATTGAAGCCGGAGCAAGATGAATGTATAGTAAAAGTCATTGCTGGCAAAGATTGTGGCGCTACTCCCCACGGGCTCCGTTAGCGGTAAAGGAGATGGCCTGGCTAAATGCTAAATGCGAACGACTCACTCAGGCGCATTACAAATGTCACGGTAAACTCAGATCCAATCTATTCAATCTGTAAAAGGAGTTAACCCCTACCACCTGTTAACGGAGCTCAATGGAGCACTTCCAGACCTTAGTACGAAATGTAATTTGTACTATGGTGTGGTATGACCAGGCTAGGTTTCAACAGGTTTTGAGTGGGTTCTGACAAGGGACCTCATTTATACAAGATAATAAAATACATGCATGGGAACACTCCAGTGTATTTAGAGCACCTACTGGTCATTATTACATACTGTAAATAAATAAGTAAATGAGGCAAACACGCAATACAAACGGCCCAACTCCATTTGGAGAAATGGAGTCAATGGTAGGGTGACCATACGTCCCGATTCACCCGGGACAGTCCCGATTCACCCGGGACAGTCCCGATTTTGAGCTCTCCGTCCCGTGTCCCGGCGGATTTCACCAGCCCCATAGTTTTGTCCCACTTTTACTGACGCTCTGTCCCGGGCGTCCTGATTTATTTTCTTTATCCAATGTTAAAAAGCTATTACAGCACACAGTGGCTGAATCTCGTTGTCTTTGAGCAATGCGTATGCCAATCACACAGTTGCCATAGCAATTTATAATATGAACCAATGACAAAAGCTCTGTAGCTTTATTCTCATTGGTCCATGGACTGGACATTACGGTCACAACAAAACTCTATGGAACCACTTTCCTCTGCTCAACATGCCTAAAGAAAGTCGAGGCTAACCCAAGAACACCTGGAACAGTTTTCTTAAGAAAGTACCGGGTACGGAAAATGCTGCCTTTTGTTCACTTCGTAAGTGCGAGTTTCCCGTCGCTCATGGCGGAAAAGCAGACGTGCAGAGCTACGGTAAAACTAGCAAAACACTTTGAAAGCACTGCTTATTACTCGGGTAAATCTTAAGTATAGTTGCTCTGAGTTCAATGAGAGGATCAGTGAAAACCGTAGCCTCTTGAAATACTAGTGTAAGGGGTTTATATTTATGTTTTGTTTTGGTTATGCCCTGTTGTTATTACCTGGTTAGGACCTATTTTGAGTGCGTATTGATATGACGGTGATGAGGTCACGTGCGCTATACAAAAGGTAATATGTTTTACTTTGTTTTATTTTTTTGGCAGGCACAGTTTATTTAAGCCAACCAGTATTGTTTTCAATAAGCAATTTAATTGCCAACAAGTTTCTTCAGGAGGCACAAGTAAATGTTTTTAAGCTGTATCACCTCTTTGACTGCAATACAGTTTTGTCGCAAATATGATTTTTAGTTCTATTAAAATGTCCCAGTTTTTCATTTTGAAAATCTGGTCACCCTAGTCAACGGTATCATCTCAATCAACGTGTCCGAGTTTATATGCACTTTGATCAATTGGGAAATTATCCAATTGTCCCTTGTAAAATATAAATGCAGAGAATGAGACTTCAGTTGTGCTATTGAATACCACATTAGAACAATTGGGCAGAACTACAAAGTGCACTTCAGACAATTGTGTGTCTGAGAACAGTGCTCAGTGCATACAGCACAACCTCTGTGTCCCCTCTCCATCCTTCCCTCCCTCCCCTCCCTCCCACATCCTCTACCCCCTCACCCCCTCCCTCTCTGTTAGTGTAATGTGCTAAAGTATTTTTAGCCTTGCTTTACAAAACCATGTGCTTCAATGAGCACAGTGCACTGTTCTGCTCTGACCAAGGTGACCACGGCCATGTCTTTACAGGCACCTAAAGGAGACTCATGATTACATACAACTGCTGTGTATGGATCAAGCACAGACATATGTGGGAGTATCCAATATGGCCGCTAATGGTTTTGTTCACCTTGTGTCCATAGTTTTGTGGTTTGGCTGGAGAATTCCAATATCTAGTCACAGCACAGATCACTGGGGGATTTTAAATGTACAAAGAATCTTGTGGGAAAAAAGAAGTCCCTGATCGAAAACAGACCTGGAGTTTTTTTTTAACTCAACAAAACAAAAAATATACAGTATGTTTTAACAACTAGAGGGTTCCTTATCCCTTCTGTCAAAATGCATTATTCAAACTTAAATTATGACGAATCCGGAAACCATGGCTGCACGGTGGATGGAACTCTCGCTTCTCAGCAAGAAGGTTCCGGGTTCGAACCCCAGTCGGTAGGTTTCCTCCGGGTGCTCTGGTTTCCCCTACCACTAAAAACATGTACAATAGGCTTCCTGTACTAGCGACCCTGCTCTCTGTGTGGAGTTGGAGACAAATGTCCACGATTGTATTGTCTGGTCTGTGAAAGGCGCTAAATAAATAAATAAAGATTACTTTTGGGGTAATAAATAAAATAAATAAATAAAGATTACTTTTGTGGTAATAAATAAATAAATAAATAAAGATTACTTTTGGGTTATACTTTGAATTGCAAACCAATGAGGAAACACGCTCTTTATAAGACTACCCTGAATCAATACCTAAAGCTGATTCAGAACTGTGGACCAATTCAATGTGGTATTATTCAGGGATGTTTTCTGGATTGATTTGATAGTGTCTTCAATCTTCAAATAAATGCAGACGTGATGGGACAATGACAAAACTTAATTGTCAATACTCTGAGCCCAGGGCAGGGATGTGACACAGCAATAACCCCAGTGTCATCTGCATATTTCATATTCTAAACCTGGAATCAAATCTGAAATGGGAGTTGCTGGTCTCACCAGCTCGTAGGTGGTCAGCAGCCTGCGTAGAATGTCTGGCAGGGGCCCCACTGGCACCAGGGCGGGGAAGTGGTCTCTGAGGTCAAACAGCAGCACAGGGGCCCCGTCTGGCCCCGACACCGTGGAGCGTAGGGCAATCACACACTGCATGAGCGAAGCCACAGCTGAGACACCACACAACTCCCGAAACAGCCCGATGGAGTTCTGCTGGACACAAACACATACACGTACACAAGCTCAGACTTAGGTTAGCCTCAATTAAATCACAACATATTTTACTATTGAAGTGTTTTGTAATGGCCGAGATGCACCTATCGTCAGGATGCTCCTTTACTCATGAGATTTCCTGTTTGTCCAGCTTTCAGTTCACTACTGATGAAACAGCCACTGCACAGCATTATTATCTTTAAATAATAAATCCAACTGCTTCTTGAATGACAAAGTCCAGGAAAAATGCTTCCAGTCCGCGTCCATGGAACTGGATGTATCTCCATAATGCACATTTAACATTATGCCACTAAATGTCCACTACATTTAGTGGCATACACGCTACCCCTACTGCCCATGGCCATGCGCTGATTTTCCATTATAAATATATCCTTGATCCTTTACCCACCTTTCAACACAGGTCTAAAAACACACTTTGCATTAATTCTGCTGATACCAGTCCAAAAATGTGGGTCTACAGTGTGAAAAAGACTTATTGCTTGACACCAACACTGATATTGGGGTGGCAGCTTTATGTTTATGGTTAATTCAAAAAACAGGAGTACCCGATTCCATCGCTTCAGAAACACTTTGAGTTTAAGCTTATTTAAGGACAATGTGCAGTTATATTAAAAAGATGACTGCACCAGATTTAGCATCATGCAACTTTCATACAATATGCGAGTAGTATTATATTACTTGAGCTCAGCGTTTAAGACACTTCAACCATGGGGTGGATCTTTCCCAACCATCAGAGCCTAAACCTAAATTCACGTGAAAATCTGTTGAAACTTCTGTTGACAAACGCCCCTCATCTAATCTGACAAATTGAAGCAAATTGTTTTATTAAGCCCAAAGCTTGTAGATTTTTACCCCAAAACGGTGTGTGTTCACAATGCTGCTGTCCCGGTACAGTTGTCTGTAATTTTGTTGTTGTCTCATAGTTTACTTTTGAATGCCTAGTAGTAGCTCTGAAACACTTGTTGTTTTGTGCTTTACAATTTACACTTTTCTTGCTTGTTTCTACCTGAAATGTTGCTGCAGTACAGTGTTCATGGTTTTACACTGGTCCAGACCAGAGCGGAGAGGATTCATGGTCCCAACCAAGTGGATCAGGTGAAAATCCACTGGAGGAATACTAACTTTTTGAAAAATGCTAATGCAGCATTTAGCATTTTACTTTGGACTAAAGCAGAGAAAATGGTCCGAACCAAGCGGTTACTCCACCTTGTGACCCGTATTGCTCCACCCAGAGGCTACTCCACCTCTGTTGCTGTGACCTGAAGGGCTGTTGCTCATTATTGCTATTGTTAGCTTTTTGGAATGATCAATTTTATTTTTTTATTTTTGCTGCTATTGGACATCAGAATTTCTCTTACAGGGATCAATAAACTATCTACAGTGCCTTGCGAAAGTATTCGGCCCCCTTGAACCTTTCAACATTTCGCCATATTTCAGTCTTCAAACATAAAGATATAACATTTAAATTTTTTGTCATGAATCAACAACAAGTGGGACACAATCGTGAAGTGGAATGAAATTTATTGGATAATTTAAACCTTTTTAACAAATAAAAAACTGAAAAGTGGGGCGTGCAATATTATTCGGCCCCTTTACTTTCAGTGCAGCAAACTCACTCCAGAAGTTCAGTGAGGATCTTTGAATTTCCCAAGGATTTCCCAAGCTTTAAACATCTCAAGGAGCACTGTGCAAGCAGTTCTACGTCATGGTGCTACGTCCCTTAGGACTTCGCTAGTGGGATATCACGTGACCCCCAGGTCACACGCCAGAGAGATCAAAATAATTTGCTCCAATCACCAGCCACCCTCCTCTATAAATGCCCCTGCACAAGGCCGCACCCCCTCTTTCACTCTGGCGCCGTTTGAGATCTACCACAGTACTTACTTCATTCTGAGATGTCTTCCTTGTTCGTCCGAGTTCCCTTCGCCCTCCGGCGTCGGACGTCGTCACTGGATCCAGACGGTGGAGGACTTCACCTCGGTGGGTGCCACCACTCGAGGAAGGAGGAGGATGCGACCCACGTTGTGCCCGCAGATGGACCCGTTCGTCCATTACGCGACACGTGAGTGGCCTAAGCCCCTAGCAGCCAAGAGGCCTGCTCTGGGGTACGACATGTACTGCAGCGGGCAGGACTGGTCCTGGACCGGTGATCGAGGATTCAGTCCGCATGGCCCTGCAGCCCTCCGCATTTGTGTGGCCCGGCACCAGACCTCTCCTTCCCTCCGAGCGGGACAGGATGTCTTGGCGATGCTGGATAGATGTTATGCCAATGCAGCATTGACTAACAACATGGCATTCATCACGGGGGCCCTGGATATGTCGCTCTCTTCTGGACAGGCGCTCAGTGGAGACCTCCTGTCACAGGCGAGGACCACCTCGGCTGCGACTCTGCGCATGTGCCAGACGCTAGCTGTGGATGGTGGCCGCTCCATGGCTGCAGCCCAAGTCGGGCCAGGCACCTTTGGCTTGGGCTGGCTAATATCAGGGAGGCGGAGAGGAGGCAGCTGCTGGACCTGCCCACCTCTCAGATGTCCCTCTTCGGCCCGGACATGCAGGCCTTGGTGGCGAGACTGGAGTCTGCAGCTAAAGACTCGGCTAGGCTAGCCCCGCACCTAGCACCGAGGCGCGAGGCCCACCAGCCATTACGGAGCCGGGACAGAGGCAGAGAACGTTGGCCCGGGAGGCATCCTGACCCGTATCCGCGCTCTGTTATCCATCGTCCCCCCTCGACGAGGCCCCCGGGTCCAGACAGACCCATGGGTGGCTCGCGGGAGCAACGCACCCACCGACGACCTCCCTATGGCAGAGGAGGTCGGGGTGGGAAGAGTTCTTTCAATAAAAGCCGTGTGGCATTTCATCATTACTCGCTGTCTGAGTCTCATTTGGGGGTATGTAACATGTCAAATGATTTGAATTCTGATTGTGTTACTTCTCGAGCATATAACGTGGCTGCGCTAGGCCTGCAGCCCCCAGAGAAGGGCGTGCAGCGTGCTACGCGGGCCACGGGCTCCGATTCACGGGTTCATGTTTTGCCCTCCCGGAGAGAGGGCAGACGGAGGGATCTGGTGAGTGATATATGTGTGTGCTCCAGCCGAACGCGTGTTAGCATCTCTGAGCTACAAGGCTAACACGGGGTTTCCCACTCCAGGGGCTCGTCCCCCCCCTCCATGAGGCAAGAGCCAGGGGGGCACAGCAGCCGAGTCACGTGTGGTGAGCAGAGCTACAAGGCTAACACGGGGTTTCCCACTCCAGGGGCTCGCCCCCCCCTCCATGAGGCAAGAGCCAGGGGGGGGCACAGCAGCCGAGTCACGTGTGATGAGCAGTCCCGTACTTATGACGTCGGGCCTGCAGAACACGTGACCGCCCCCGGCGCTCACGGTGTGACGCAGGGGGCCCCCCGGCCCTTTCGGCCACCCCCCCTCCCTGCTAGGAACACCAGGAGAGGGCGGGGCCGTGACGTCTCGTGTTTCAGCTCCCGTTCCGCCCCTCACAGACTTCTACAGCATCTGGAGGGAGCAGGGTTTGGATGACAGAAAACATTGCGCAGGGGTTACGCACTGCAATTCTTCCATAAGCCACCACCATTCCGAGGTGTACGGGCAGTGCGCTCTCAGATACGGGGATCAATAGAGGCACTGCAAGCGGAGGTCTCCTCTCTGCTGAGTCGAGGCGCAGCAGTGGAGGTAGACCCGCAGGACGCCACCAGGGGGCTGTACTCCCCTTACTTCTTAGTGCCAAAGAAGTCAGGCGGGGTGCGTCCCATTCTGGATCTGCGCGTGTTGAACGAGTGCTTTTCCTAACGGAAGTTTCGGATGCCGCCCACAAAGCAGCTACTCGAGTGTGTCAGGGAGGGAGACTAGATGTCCTCCATAAACCTGACAGATGCGTACTTCCACGTGCCCATAGTGCCAGAACACAGGAGGTTTCTGCGCTTCGCAGTGGGAGAGAGGAATTACGAGTACTTATGCACTCGCGCCTCGGACTTTTCCAATGCGTGGAAAAGTCCTCAGACGCGCTGGGGTAAGAATTTTAACCTACTTAGACGACTGGTTAATTCTGGCATCATCCAGGGAAGTGTCACACGCACTGGGTCCCGTCCCATATACAGCGCCTGGGCTCTGTGGTGAACAGGGAGAAAATTAATAGTTACCTATTGTAACTTAAGTTCTACGATTAGGTGCACGTGTTATCCCACTAGCGAAGTCCGCTAAGGGACGTAGCACCATGACGTAGAAGCAGGCTGCAACCGGCTCAGCGCATGATCTATCTCGGCCTGCAGCTAGACTCTGTGACATTCCGTGCTGCACTGTCCGTGGACAGACGGATGAGCACTACCCGTCTGCCCAGGGAGGTTCTGGCGGGCCCCAGAGTCCCCTCTCGGCGCCTCAGGTCCCTGCTGGGAATGAGGGCGGCGGCTCATGCTGTGGTGCGGCTAGGCCTTCTCCACATGAGGAATTTTCAGAGGTGGTTCTCACGCCTCAGGCTTCACCCCTCCCGGGACGGGGGGAGGCTGGTCTGGGTTCCCCAAGTGGCAGCATCGAACATCAGGTTCTGGCTCACTCCGGGTCTATTGCGGGACGGAGTGACTCTGCCCTGCGCCGTGTCTCACGTGGAGGTGTTCACGGACGCGTCGCTCGAAGGATGGGGCGGGGTCCTCGGCCAGAGTTCTGTAGGAGGCTGCTGGTCGGACTCAGCCCGTCACATCAACCTGCTGGAGATGGAGGCAGTGCACAGAGTACTGCTGCACTTTGCCCCTCAGCTGCAGGGGAGACACGTGTTGGTGCGCTCGGACAACACCGCAGTGGTCTCCTATCTGAACAGGCAGGGGGGCACCAGGTCCCCCGCTCTTCATTGCATGGCGACGGTGACGCTGCTGTGGGCGGCGCTTCACCTCCTGTCTCTCAGGGCGCGCCACGTCCCGGGGGTCCGGAACGTGGGGGCTGACAGGATGCCAGGGGGGGGCCCACTCCAGGACGAGTGGGGCCTGGCCCCACGGGTAGCTGCGGAGATCTGGCGGAGGTTCGGCCGTCCAGTGGTCGACCTTTTCGCCAGTGCAGGAAACGCACAGTGCCCGTCCTGGTTCGCCTCAAGGGCCGCGGACGAGCCGCCCTTAGGCGTGGACGCTCTGGCTCATTACCCCTGGCCAGGCGGCCTGTTGTACGCTTTCCCACCAGTGCGCCTCCTGCCGGTCCTGCTGCGGAGGATCGAACAGGAGAGGAGGTCGGTGATCCGGGTGGCGCCGGACAGTCCGCATGCCCGGTGGTTCCCCTTCCTGAGGGGCATGGCGGTGATGGAGCCCTGGGCCCTCCCGGACGAGCCGGGGGCTCTAGTCCGGGGGGGGGAGGAGCCCTGTTTCACGCCCGAAAATCGGCCGCAGGCTCTGGGTTGGAGGCTGAGAGGCGGAACCTCGTAGGCCTGGGTCTTCCCCCTGCGGTGGTGGAGACCACTCAGGGGGCGAGGGCGCCGTCCACATTGAGGGCCTACGCCACGAGGTGGAGGCTCTTCAGCGACTGGTGCGGTTTTCGTTCCTGGGATCCCAGGCGTTGCCCGCTGGAGGGGGTCCTGGGATTCCTACAGGAGCTCTTTGACAAGGGGAGGGCTGTCGCCACCTTGGCGGTGTTCGCGGCAGCCATTACTTCGGGTCACGACGGATTCGGGGGGTTCACAGCCCGCTCTCATCCGTTGGTTAAACGTTTTCTGCGGGGGGGCACGCAGGAGGAGGCCCCCGCTCCAGAGAACGCCCCCGGTTTGGGACCTCAGGGTGGTCCTTAGGGGGCTGTCGGGTCCGCCTTTTGAACCGGCGGCGGAGGCGAGTCCCGAGTGTGACGCTTTAAGACGGCCCTCTTGTTGGCGTTGGCGTTGGCGTCTGCTAAGAGGGCGGGCGACTTGTGTGCGCTCTCTGTCCATGCGTCTTGCCTGCCCTTTGGTGAGGGCGACGGCATGGTGGTATGGTGGCCCAATCCGGCTTTCTCCCCAAGGTCATCACGTCGGCCTTTAGGTCGAGAGTCATCAGGATTAGGGCTTTCTATCCGCCACCGCATGCCTTCCCCGAGGAGGAGCGGTGGCACCTTCTGTGTCCTGTCAGAATGCTGAGGCATTACCTGGCCATGACGTCGTCATTCAGGTTGGGTGGTCAGCTGTTTGTGTGTCTGGGCCCCAAGAACAGGGGCGCCCCGCTGTCGGCTCAGCGGCTGGCGCACTGGGTCGCCACGGCTGTGCGGCGGGCGTATCAGACGCAGGGTCTGGCCCTCCCGGTGGGCTTCAGGTCGCATTCCACGCGTGGGATGGCGGCCTCTGCGGCCCTTCTCAGGGGGGTGTCGGTCGAGGACGACTGCCGTGCGGCTTCTTGGGCGTCGTCCTCCTCTTTCGTCCGGTTTTATCTTTTGGATGTGTCGGACCGGTCGGTGGCCCATTCCGTGCTGAGTGCAGCGGACTGAGTTAGACCGTTAGGTCCCTCCTCTGAGGGGGCCTTCGTTTTACTTTCCGCCCTGGTTCAGGAGCTCTTGGGAGAGGCATCCTACAGGTGCGGTACATATATGTGTGTTTGGTCGGTCAGGTAGTCCACGTCAGGAGCCCTTGGGAGAGGCGTCCTGTGACTACGGATGACCTACATCTGTGTTACATGGGGGTATCCTTGGTAGGAGTGGCCCTGTAACACGCATTGTTTCTTCTGCCCTGAGTCCCCTCACTGTGTGAGGACCTTGCTCGGGCGGAGCTCCAATCACCCTTCGCTGGCCTGCTGGGAGTACATGTTCCTACGGCCTCCGCGTTGTGTCCCACTAGCGAAGTCCTAAGGGACGTAGCACCATGACGTAGAATTAATAGTTACCTAATGTAACTTAAGTTCTACGAATAGGTGCGTAGTCCCTTAGCTACGAGCCCATCAGGCCAGCCCGGCTTGGCAGAGTTCAAGAGGGGGTGCGGCCTTGTGCAGGGGCATTTATAGAGGAGGGTGGCTGGTGATTGGAGCAAATTATTTTGATCTCTCTGGCGTGTGACCTGGGGGTCACGTGATATCCCACTAGCGAAGTCCTAAGGGACTACGCACCTATTCGTAGAACTTAAGTTACATTAGGTAACTATTAATTATATTGAAATGGAAGGAGTATCAGACCACTGCAAATCTACCAAGACCCGGCCGTCCCTCCAAACTTTCATCTCAAACAAGGAGCAGACTGATCAGAGATGCAGCCAAGAGGCCCATGATCACTCTGGATGAACTGCAGATAACTACAGCTGAGGTGGGGATGGTGTGTTCAGGGTGATGAGCTGTGTTGCTTTTACGCCAAACATATCGTTTTGCATTGTGGCCAAAAAGTTTGATTTTGGTCTCATCTGACCAGTGCACCTGCTTCTACATGTTTGGTGTGTCTCCCAGGTGGCTTGGGACAAACTTTAAGAGACTTTTATTGGATATCTTTGAGAAATGGCCACTCTTCCATAAAGGCCAGATTTGTGCAGTGCACGACTGATTGTTGTCCTATGGACAGACTCTCCCACCTCAGCTGTAGTTATCTGCAGTTCATCCAGAATGATCATGGGCCTCTTGACTGCATCTCTGATCAGTCTTCTCCTTGTTTGAGATGAAAGTTTGGAGGGACGGCCGGGTCTTGGTAGATTTGCAGTGGTCTGATACTCCTTCCATTTCAATATAACTGCTTGCACAGTGCTCCTTGAGATGTTTAAAGCTTGGGAAATCTTTTTGTATCCAAATCCGGCTTTAAAGTTCTCCACAACAGTATCTCGGACCTGCCTGGTGTGTTCCTTTGTCTTCATGGTTCTCTCTGCGCTTTAAACAGAACCCTGAGACTATCAAAGAGCAGGTGCATTTATACGGAGACTTGATTACACACAGGTGCATTCTATTTATCATCATCAGTCATTGAGGACAACATTGGATCATTCAAAGATCCTCACTGAACTTCTGGACTGAGTTTGCTGCACTGAAAGTAAAGGGGCCGAATAATATTGCACGCCCCATTTTTCAGTTTTTTATTTTTTTTTAAAAGTTTAAATTATCCAATAAATTTCGTTCCACTTCACGATTGTGTCCCACTTGTTGTTGATTCATGACAAAAAATTAAAATGTTATATCTTTATGTTTGAAGACTGAAATGTGGCGAAATGTTGAAAGGTTCAAGGGGGCCAAAACCTTTCGCAAGGCACTGTATCTATCTATAGAAAACAAAATTGTGTATTAGTTCAAGCTGTATTGTTACTTTTGAATGACACTGTAAATTACAAGATAGCTAAAACAACTACATTACCCTATCATTTGGAGATTTTTGGTGGTTATGTCTCTTGGGCACAATGAGAGGGGATCAGAGGGGATAAAACACTCAAGCTGTAGACACACAAGATAGAGAACTGTGGGATGCAGACTTCTATTTGGGGCCCAAAGAGGAGTTTATAGTGTCTTATTTGAAAAAAGAAAATGCCTTTATTTGACAAGAAATGGCTTCATGCAATCACTAGCATTGAGTTTGAAAAGAGTTTTTGCCGAATCATCTGCTTGGGTGTAAACACTCAGTTACTGTGAAAAGAAGTGGCTGTCCTTAGGGTGCTCAATGAGTCTTAGAATCCTCCTCACCTGCATGTTCTCCCTGAGGTCAGTGGCGTCTCTCAACAGCGGGGTGGCCATCTTGAAGATGTCGTCCACGGGCCGCAAACCCAGGTCTCTGAGGGCCGTGTACTCGCGGCCTTTGCGAGCCTTGCGGACCGACAGGCCTCGTTTGTGAGGCTTACCCCCTCCTCTGCGGTTTGTGAGGGCCACGTGGACGAAGAGGCGGGCATGAAGCAGGTCCTCCCCAGTGAGCGACTGGAGAGGCACATGTCTGTACCCGGGGAGAAGGCACTCCAGGGGGATGGTGTACTGGCCTGGGTAGGACAGGGGACATGGACATACAGTACTGTTTGAAATGATTGCAGCGTGTAGATAAACAGGTATAAATCACAAAAGTCTTCTTAAGAAATTATAATGATTACATTGGGAACACTGCAAATTAAAGTGCACATTATATATATTCTAAAACAAAACGTGAAGAAGAAAAGTTATTTGATTCTTGTGCCAAAAATAATAATTGGCTGATAAAAATAGCAGAGTATGAATATTTATGTCATATATACATTTAATAATTTATTGTATAAATTAAATATTCTTGAACATTTAGTATTCCAGTAAATCCTTTAACTAATATTTAGTTGTATAACTTGAATCAGTTCACAGAGCACCAGCCCCTCACTGATCCTCCTGCAGGGGGTGAGTCCCCAGGAGCACACATGCCCAATGCATCGAAATAAAAAAAATCCGAATTTTGTGATTTACAAACATTTTATACATGGATTGAGATTTCCACACTGCGGCACTATCCTTCGGTTTGTCTGTGACTGTGAGTACCTGTTCATTTCGTGTTTCTAGCAAGAACACCTACTGACTGATCATTTTTGTTATAGGGATGAATACATTTATTTGATTCTTGTGGCCCTTTCACATTGGACCAGGATCTGCCTTGGCTTTAGGACAGCATTGTCAGGACCAGTCTTTAGAATGGCCAAAAGTAGACTGAAACTACTGAAACAAAGACACTAATAATAAAATCAAGTTATAAATCATTTGGGACACACCTATGAACTCATCTCCTATGAAGTGGTCGTCCAACACCACAAAGCGCACCAGGGCGAGCTCAGGCAGGTTGATATGGAACTCAAAGCTCTCGTCAAAGATGGGGTTGTCTCCATTATGCGAGACAGTCCGAGTCCTCCTCTCTGTGCAGTCCGCTGGGATCCCATGAACCTCCACATACACGTAGGGCTCCACCACGTCCCCCTTGGCCCCAGAGCCTTTGGGCTTAGGCAGGTTCTGACCACTGATCACCTGCCCACATGTACAAAAGCCATCACACACAACAGAGCATTGAGGTTCTTTTCTATTCTAGAACAACTTTTACGTATTGAAAAGGTGTGAACTCCAATTAACAGGGACTTTAATTTAGTTAGAATTTAGTTTTTTGGTTCAAATTGTAATTCATAATTTACGGACCTTATATTAAACATTGAAGAGGGTTCAGATACCTTCCTGCACTCATCATTCACCTCTTGCATTCAATTATTAGTGATAATGGCCCTCATGTATGAAACTTGCGTACGGCCAAATCAAGGTGTAAATGAGGCGTTTATCAATCTGGACGTGGGCGTACGGTACTCTCAAAATATACACCGAGTCAGGAGGTGGTGTAAATGTGTACGCTCATCTCAACCTTCATCACAACACGCCAAAACACGCATGAAATTCACGATTTGGACAACAATATTCCCAACATATTCCCACTCTGGCAAAATTCATTGAGCATCAAATTTCGAAATATGAATTTGCGCATCAGAAAATGTCGAATACATTACAGTTTATGATGACAAGTGCACATAGAGCTCTCCATTGCGTTCACAAGATGCTGCAGACGCACCGCTGAGGCTATTAATATTTATGAATTAAATAATTAATTAATTATTTTTTTATTTATTGACTTCTACATTTCAAGAGATATTTTTGTAATGTATCAAAAAAGTTTTGCAAATTTGTTCAAAGGAAATGCAGCTGAATATAACGTATACAGTATTTATTTTCTAACTAACATGAAGAAACAAATGTGCCACAGGCCTTTTGAGGCTTCCAAACATTCTTCTTGGCCGACTTCCATGCTGACCGGTCGTAAAAAGGGGGCGTAAAAAGGGGGCGTAAAAAGGGGGCGTGAAACAGGCGATTGCTGCATATTTCTAGGCGTGACTTTCATAAATACGTTCGTATTCAGCTGCGGCATATATGAACACCCGCAGGTGCTTACGCTCTAATCTGGGCGGATCTCACACGTTCATAAATCCCAAGTTGGATCTTGCGTATTTTGAATCTACACCCAAAATGTACACCTTTTTCTGCGCAAGTTTCATAAATGAGGGCCATCATCTTCTTTCAATAAATGGTGTGTGATCAAACCTTGACATGCAGCAGCTGCGGTGACACTCCGGGCACCGAGTCGGTGGTGTCTGCGCTGAAGTACGACACCTCTTGGCGCATGATGGCCGGCCGCAGTACGTAGCCACAGTTCCCGTTCTGCCGGAACCACGCAGCGGCCAGGTCCATCATGAGCCCGGCCGTCTGGAAGTTCATGGCCACGAGCTGGACGCCACACTTCCACACGTCCAGCGGATTCATATTGCTGGAGTCGGAGCGCGCAGGGCTGGGGTAGACTCGCGTCAGGAAGCGTTTGTTATGGTCGACAAACTCCCCTGGGCTCTCCGCAGCCAGCCACACTGCAGAGGCCTCGGGCAAAGAACACAGCTCCCACGGCTTCTGACTGTAGCGTGCTGTGGTGAAATTGGTGAATCGCACTGAGCTGCACAGGGTCACCAGGTCCGATAGCTCTCTGAGGAGGCGGTGCTTTCTGGGTGAAGGTTTGGGAGTGTGCACAGAGATGTTCTGTGCTGTGTTTTTGGATTCCTTATTCACAGAGTTTGATTTCAGTTTCGCAACCATCTCTGCAGCCTCATCTTCCTCGCTGACCTCTCCCTCGTCTGCTGTGCAGGAGGGCTTCAGCCGCTTACCTGCAGGAGAAAATAAGTCAAATCTCTATAATTGGGGGTACGCAGATCCAGATACAGGGACTAATAACATGATTTTCAAGTAATATTTTAACTTGCAAACACTGAAGTTTATATGTGCTTTCATGACATGATCTACAAAGTTATCTCAAGAACCAATAATGCAATTTATAATGATACTACTATCAATCTGAAATAACTTTCTAGCTCTCTTACTTTTGGTTCAGTCCAAGGTTGTACTATGTTCTGGTCTGATATCTAATACATTCATTAATCTCTACTTCTCGTAACTGCACTGAGAGCTGCCCCTCACGTGAGTAGTCTTTTTTGTTAGCTTTAATTTAATTACCCTTGAGTAAAATGCGGTGTTTTAAGGCTTGTGGAGAGGGTAGATACAGCTCCTCGTCCATAGGCTGGTCCTGGTACAGCTTGTCCCCCAGTATCGTAAGTAGGAGCTCTAGCATGGCTCCCTGCTGCTGAGGGGAGCAGTGGTTCTCCAGGCATAGGATGAGCGGATAATCCGAGGCCACAAAGGCAAAGCGCCCAATGGCTTCCAAAACGCGTTGAAAGAGCAGAGGCGGGGAGAGCGTATGTCCCGCACACACCACAGGCTCACCCTCCTCCCCATCCCACACGTCTACCTCCACGCAGCGGCAGCCCATGCGCAATGCCCGGATGTAGCCCGACAGGTCGGAGGGTCCACGGTACTGGTCCTCGATGAGGTAGGTATTGTGGGAGGCGTTGATGAAGTAGTGGGACAGGGGCTGGCTCATGTCCTGGCACACCAGCTTATGGTCACGGTCAAATGGGTGACACTCCGGTGAGGTCAGGTAGGCACTGAAGCCATCCAGGGAGAGGAAGGCACGCTCTCTGCCCTGCGGTGACGGCTCGTAGGCCTGGATCAGCCGGAGCGCAGTGTCTTCACTCACCTACGGGAACACAACACACTGAGCTCTGCGCATGTACAGGACTTCCAGGATTACATATTTAGAAACAAGACTCGGAACCTTTTCCATACTAAACAGTACAACATGTCAATTCTTGCAATGCTTCAACTGGTGTCCCAATGTTGAACAGGTATCTCCCTAACCTCTCAGTCAGATCCATCTACTTTCTAACACATGTGATCAGATATAGCACACAAGTAGAACATCTTTTGATCAGATTTAATAATTGGTCCTTCCTTCATTCTTATGTTTGCATTAAAACCGTGTTAAATATCACTTGACCAAACTTCAAGCTGCCCTGTCTCATGAAAGGTCACATTTTATATTTTTGTTTCAAATACAGATTTTAGGAGTGAATAAACACTACTCACTATGAGAAACAGCCGAGTACATGTGCAATTGTTTGTTGTTAACATGCATTCAAACTTTTTTTTTTTGCTTTGCTATAGCCAATTCTGAAAAGGGCAGCTCAGGGAACAGACTAAAAAGTGGGGCTCAGGTGGTCAGGCTCGCATGGCGCCGTAAAGGTGGCGCCGTGGCAAGAACTCTGGTGTGTGTGTTTTTTGCACACTGGGGTAGTCTTGCACAGTTTTTCCAATGTGGTTTTACTGCAAATGGCAAATAAATGAATCTGAATCTGAATCTGATTTGCCTTGGGTGGGTGTAAGAGGTGTTACCCACGTTGGCCATGCCCTGCTCGGCTTCCAGAAAGCGACTCAGGTCTTTGGTGTCCAGGTACTCCTTATTACTTGAGAAGCGCACCAGCATGAAGTAGATCTCAGGGCGCGTGCAGAAGTCATGGAAAGTCTGGATGAAGTCTGCTTTGGACACATACTCACTCCTTAATGCTCTGTTGTTCTTTCGGACCACAGCCTGGACAGGAGGCATGAGACAATCATCCAATCAGTATTGTTTATCGTGATAAAAAGAGGACCATGTTTGTTCCACAATCAAATTGTTTTTCATTTAAATATAATTAAAATTTTCACAAAAACAGAAATATTATCTAATAGGTGAGTTAAGATTACATGCAATACAACAATATTTGTAAAGAGAAGAGGGGCATGGAGGAATACTGTCTGTAGGAGCATAAAACTACGATGATGAGAGAGGCCAGGACATAAACACAGTCGCGGCTGAACTATGGTTAAAAGTTCAGATTATTATTAGCCTTAGCCACAGCGCAGCATCCACATCACGAGATAAGAAAACAGAACTCACTCACGCTGGTGATATAAGCATTCTGTCAATTGTTTTGTGAGGATCCTGTGTGTTTTGTATATTTGAAGCTTGTCCCTGAATAAGTTTAGTTGAAACTTGTGACAAAGTAGTTGGACTGCGCTCGGACCTTTGTAGCAGATTCTACCTACTTCTCATTACTGTCAATATGAAGAAAGTTTCTGTCTGTGTGAAGAAAGCTACGTATTCTTCATGTGTGAGTCTGTTGTGTACAAACTACACAATGTGCCTCCTGTTGTTTTAACTCTGCCTTTCAGTGTGTGTGGGTTGCGATGTTTGCTGTTATGACGTCAGTTCCTAGATTTTTGCATAACTCTTTTTCAAAAAGATTGTTGTTCCATGTGAAGGAGTAGTCCCCACTCCTCATCCACAGGTGTATCCTTCCTGTTTTATTTTGAAATATTTAACTTTGTTTATTTTTCCCTGTCCCTAACTTGTCCCGTTTCTTTTCTTGGAAGGTGATTGGTGGAGGTGCTGGGCTGGAGGCGCGCCCATCCCAGTGCATGCCAGGTGCACCCAATTGAGCAATCAGCTGGGCTCCACAATGATCCTCCAAGAGAGGGGTGTTTCATTTGGACTAAACATTATATAAACATACTTCACATACCACACCCCTTAAATAACACCACTAATTCTATATTACTATAAATTATTATTATAACATATCTGCTTAAATTAAAGATGTGAATAGTTGTGTAAATAGTGTAGGCCTACATTGTTGTGTCCCTGGGTGGGTGGAGGTTTTGGTTTAGGCCACTGTATAAAAAGGGGAAGATTCCATTTGAACGGTGTGTTCCTGTTGTGTGCATGGGGGGATGCTGCCCAAATAAATACGATATCGTTTGTGCAATCTGCAACTTTTGGACCTTTGTTTGTTTCCCGTCCTGGTGAGAGGCTGTCCCGGTAGCTCAAACGCTACATTCCAGTTGATCTTTTAAACATAAATGTGATCCTCCATGATCCCTTTTTTAAATTTTAGAGGAAGCGACATGCCAAGCCATAAATTATCTATAATAATCTAAAATTCTAAAACATAACATTTTTTAATGTTCCCAAGATCCTATTTAAAGGCCACAATGCACCTCTGCCTCCACACCGTTGTTCAAGCCCCCCCCAGCCCTCTCTCTGGCCCTCTGCAGCTCCCTAAAGCGGGTCTCCAGTTTGTTGCTGCTGACTCCCGGGTTCACTGCCTGGATCAGCCTGACCGCGGAGAGCATCCTGAGGCCCCGCTCGTCCTCATCCAGCCGCTCAGCCTCCTCCGCACTGCAGAACATGTGCTCCAGCCAGCTCACACGCAGACTGTCCTGGGAGTGTGCCAGCATGTCCAGAGCCCGCTGGCCATGCTGCACCAGGTACCTGCCATGACAAAGCCCACCATCATTGTGGGCTCTATGTGTTTGTAGTAGAACATAGAGCAATAAAATTGGTCAAAGAAGACACAGATTAACTGGTGTTCACAGGAAGGAAGCTAACAGTATTTGAGGCTTTGCTGAGTACTTCAGGACTTCAGGAAACAAAATGTGAGATGTCATGGAAAATAGATTCTCTCATAACCGCTGGTAGAACACTGCATGTGTTGCTGATATGGGTGTATTTATGGGATCATTATTCACCAAAGAGGTTTCAAATAGAGTGTAACATTTCGGACTGAGGCCCTTCATCATTATTCACCAAACCACCAAAAGTTGTCACTGCAATATTCATCCATCCATTTCCATCCAATTTCCTCCGCTTCATCCGTTGCGAGTTGCGGGGGTAGCAGTCTAATCAGAGACGCCCAGACCTCCCTATCCACACACACTTCCTTCAGCTCGTCCGGGGGGGACCCCAAGGCGCTCCCAGGCCAGCTGAGAGACATAGTCCCTCCAGCGTGTCCTGGGTCTTCCCCGAGGCCTCCTCCCGGTGGGACGTGCCCGGAACACCTTCCCAGGTGGCGACCAGGAGGCATCCTAAACTGGTTCCTCTCGACGTGGAGAAGCAGCGGCTCTACTCTGAGCTCCTCCTGTGTGACTGAGCTCCTCACCCTATCTCTAAGCGCCTAGCCACTCTACAAAGGAAACTCATTTCGGCCGCTTTTACAGTATTTGCGATCTCATTCTTTCAGTCATTACCCAAAGCTCATGACCTGAGCTGAGGGAGAGAACGAAGATTGACTGGTAAATCGAGAGCTTTGCCTTTCGGCTCAGCTGCCTCTTCATCACAGCGGTCTGATACAGCGACCACATCACTCCGCACGCTGCCCCGATCTACCTGTCAATCTCATGCTCCATCCTTATTATACCAAACAATACAAAAAAAATTATTCTTGTGTAGCCCTAAATTACAACAGTAGTCATCTCAGAGGACTTAACAAAACCATTAAAATCACCAACGCAGATTAGAGAATCAACAGTTAAGACACAAAAAATAATATAGAATGCATGTTGATAAATGTTCATACATGTTGAAGAACGTTAAAGTGTCCTGGATTATCACCACAGTCCTTTTTGTTAGACACTAACTGTCCAACAGACCCCCCTGCATCGGCAAGGGAAAACTCACAAAAACCCAGTGGGGAAAAAGTGAGAAACCTCGGGGAGACCCACATTGAGAGAGGGATCCACTCCACACAGACGGATGGGCTATAGATCCCTCCCTCACTCGTGAACGAGACCTTGAGATACTTGAACTCCTCCACTTGAGGAAGGACCTCTCCACCCACCAGGAGAGGGCAAGGCACCTTTTTCTGGTCAAGCACCATGGCCTCGGATTCCAGCCGCTTCACACTCAGCTGCAAACTGTCCCAGTGCATGTTGCAAGTCCTGGTTTGTTGGAACCAACACGACAACATCGCCCGCAAACAGCAGAGATGGAATTCTGTGGTCCCCGAACCGGTACCCCTCCGGCCCCTGGCTGCGCCTTGAAATTCTGTCCATAAAGACAGTGAACAAACCCGGTGACAAAGGGCAGCCTTGGCGGAGGCCAACATGCACCGGGAAGAGGTCTGACTTACGGCCGGCAATGCGAGCACAGCTCTGGCTCCGGTCATACAGGGACCGAACGGCCCTCAGCAGAGAACCCCTGGGAGAACCCCCCAAAGGACACCAAGGGGAACATGATTGAACGCCTTCTACATTTCCACAAAGCGCATGTGGAAAGGTTGGGCGAACTCCCATGAACCCTCAAGTATCCAATGGAGAGTATAGAGCTGGTCCGGTGTTCCGCGGCCGGGACGAAAACCACACTGTTCCTCCTGAATCTGTGATTCGACCATCGGCCGTAGTCTCTTCAGTACCTTGGAGTAGACTTACCGGGGAGGCTGAAGAGTGTGATCCCACAATAATTGGAACACATCCTAAGGTCCCCCTTCTTGTAGAGAGTGACTACCAAACCAGTCGGCCACTCCATTGGTATCGCCCCCGATCGACACGCGATGTTGCAGAGACGTGTCAGCCAAGACATGCAGAGACTTTAGATAGTCAGGACGGATCTCATCCACTCCCGGCGCCTTGCCACCAAGGAGGCTGCCAACCACCTTGGTGATCTCAGCCAAGAAGATGGAAGCCTCTGCCTCCGGAACGGAGGACGTGACAGGGGGATTGGGGAGAACCTCGAGGTATTCCTTTCACCCCCCGAAAATATCCCCAATCGAGGTCAGTAGCTCTCCACCAACACCATACACGTGGTTGGCAAAGAACTGCTTCCCCCTCCTGAGGCGCCGGACGGTTTCCCAGAATCTCTTTGAGGATGACCGATAGCCATGCTCCATGGACTGTCCGAACTCCTCCCAGTCCCGGATTTTTGCCTCTGAAACACGCTTGGCCTGCCGGTACTGGGCAGCTGCCTCAGGAGTACCACGAACCATCATGGCTCGATAGGACTCTTTCTTCAGCCTGATGCCATCCCTTACCACCGGTGTCCACCATCGGGTTCGGGGGTTGCCACCGGGACCAGCACCAGAGACCTTGTGACTACCGCTATGAGCTGCCGCATCGGCGATAGAGGTGGAGAACATGGTCCACTCAGACTCGATGTCCCGTCCCGCCCCCAGGACCTGGGATAAGCTCTCCCAAAGGTGTGAGTTGAAAGTCCGTCTGACAGGGAGCTCAGCAAGACGTTCCCAGCATACCCTCACTACACGCTTGGGTATGCCAGGTCTGGCCGGCTTTCTCCCCTGCCAGCGGCTGAACAGGTGGTGAGCGGTTGACAGCTCCACCCCTCTCTTTACCCAAGTGTCCGAGATACGCGGTCGAAGGTCAGATGATACGACAACCAAGTCAGTCATCGACCTCCGGCCTAGGGTGTCCTGGTGCCATGTGCACTGGTGGACACCCTTGGGATCGAACATGGTTTTTGTGATGGACAAACAATTGAACACCGCTCGGCTTCAGATCACGGGGACCGTTCTTCCCGATCACCCCTCTCCAAGTGTCACCAGTGTTGTCCCGAGTCGGTGCACTGTCCAGTACCCCTCCCGGGGACTCCAAGAAGGCCGTTAGGCCCGTAGACCGTCACAGCAGTGAGAGACTTGTCCCCCACCTGGAGGCGGAGGGACGTGACCCTCTCATCACCGGAGAGAACTCCCAACACGTGGCGGCTGAGATGGGGGGCAATGAGAATGGCCACCTCTGCTCGCCGTCTCTCCCTGCGAGAAACACCAGAAAAGTGGAGCGTCCAATCCCTCTCAATCGTTGGGTTCCAGAGCCCAAGCTGTGTGTGGAGGTGAGGCCGACTATCTCCAGTCGGCATCTCTCAACCTCCCCCATGGGCTTGGGCTCTTTGCCCCCCAGTGAGGTAACGTTCCGAGTCCCAAGAGCCAGATGTTTTGTGTGCGGGCTGGGTCGTCGAGGCCCAGTCATCTCAGCACCTCTCCCTCTGTGGGTGGTGGGTCCACAAGAGGGCCTGCCCATGTCATCCCTTCGGGCTGACCCCGGCCGGGCCCCGTGGATTAAGACCCGGCCACCAGACGCTTGCATACGAGCCCCAAACCCAGGCCTGGCTCTCCCTGTGCTATCAATGGTGGTTTTTGGACTGCGCTTCGTCTGACTCGTCACCTGAGACCTGTATACCATGGGAGACCCTACCAGGGGCATAAAACCTCAGACAACATAGCTCCCATCCGAGTACTCAAACTCCCCCACCACGTTAAAATGGCAAACTCCACAAAGAAAAGTCTGAAGGTTGAATCGAATTCAGGACCTTCTTGCTGTGAGGCACAACCGCTATAGTTGGGTAGCAGTATAAAAAAACTAACAACATGTATTCTTTCTAAACTTTCCCGTTGCCTTCAAAAGAAGGTCAACATTCAATAACATATATGAGATGTTTCCCACCATAATGTCCAGCCCTAGATGTGGTGTGTCTGACCTGAGTCCAGTGACCCAGATGTTGGCCACCTCCGCACTGTGGGCCACCAGGTCCAGGCTGGTGTACAGCTCTCCGTAGATGAGGGAGAAAGCACAGTCCTCAGAAATGTGATCGTACATGCCACTGCAGCGGAAGGTCTCCGTGTTACGGCCTGTGCGGACCTAGAGCCAGACCAAAGAAAATCATCTACGCTTTTCATGTTTTTAAAGCAATGAGCCCTGGTTACATTTAAGACCTCATTGTAGGGAAGGCAGGAAAAAGCTCTCTCATTTTCATTTATGAATTTATGGCATCTCCTGTTACACCTATAACCTATGTTATACCTTCATTATACCTACTTAACGTCTGCATTACACCTACGTTTTGCTGTTATTTTTTTTACATATTATTTTTTTAAGATGAGAGGGATTGGGGGAAGGAAGTGCCATAGTACCTTCCCTACAATCTCTGAATCCCTTCAATCAGCGCACCTGTGACAGACTGGAAGGGATTAAAGCAGAGCGAGCATGAGAGGATGAGAGTAAGAGGTTGGGCTGGACAAGGACATGATGTAGCCGCGGGATGGGGTAACCCGAGCCGCTTTGGTGGTGCCGTGCAGAGAAAAAATGGGACGAACCGGGCTAACGTGCATGACACAAATGTGCAGCTAGGACGCACAGCTGAGGGGCTACACCGTGACGCGTGAACTACTTGTGGATGGCTGCTGGTATATGTAGTGTGAACACCAGAACACATGAATGCAGCCTGCCTCAGGGTGTGTGGCCGAGAGAGTGGTGTGCATCACAAGCCATGGGACCCACAAGCCCCACACAAGTTATACAAGTAGCAGGCAACTCCTGTGAGATTGCCATCATGTGGTTGAGTGTGGGATTAATAAATAATCTTCAAAACTATGCGGGGGGAATGCGTGAGTGTACGAGCAACTGTGGCTGTGTAGGTCCCGTGCAACCGCAAAAGTAACCAGCGCAGCGCGAGAATACACTAGGAAAGACTTTCCTAATCTTTCAGGGGGCCATTACGTTACACGTGTTGTGCACCACCATCTGCTTTTGTTTGTCTTTTCTATGTGAATACTTAAAGTGCCCATGAGCACAATTTTAGTGTGGAAGACATGAGAACCGAGCTCTGAGCAGTTCTCCTGCTGTTGCCCACAGCAACAGCAATCAGTCAATCACACTCAGCTGCGCAGCACCACACACTGTTCCATCCAAGCAGCAGCTTCATTCACGCCGCAACCCTCATCCTCCCCATCTCTGCCTTGTTCTAGGCCAGCTCCTTCATCCTTCTCCTAGCTACCACCACCAGGGTCTAGGCCCTGGGAGATTTAATCTAATAATGTCTTTCCCCTTCTGCAACCGTGCAGTGCTCTGCCGGGGTCTAACACGGAATTTACACAGTAGGCGTAAACAGCGCGTACGCGTTTACTGCGCGCTCTCTGCGCGTATAACGCATACGTGCTGTAACGCGCGATGTGTAAATTAGCAGTTAGGCCAAATCCTAACCACAATCTGTACAGCACAAAAAATGTAATCTTGAAAATATTGTCCTCAGTGTCATATGTCTAATTTATGCAGTGTCAACATACTATTCTAATACTATGTTTTGTCTGTTTGAGTTTCTCCAGATTGAAATTCATTTATACTTTTGTGAGAAGAAATGTCTTTACTTCTCTGTTTGCTGAGTTTTTTAAAGATTTGCTACTTCACTTTTTTGGCCATATTACCCACTCCAAGTGAGTGAACACTAGATAGGACATCAATTGCAATATTTTGAGAGGATAAACCCTAAGGCGAGGAAATGTCAGTCATATTCAGTTAGTGCTGAGCGGCATGTGGCCTCTCTGACCTCTCTCACACTGTCCAGGCTGATGCGTGCCTTGTCAGAGTCCTTCTTGGAAGGTTCCCAGCACAGCGCCTGCAGCCCGGTGTCCAGTAGAAAGTATCTGTGGTAGACCCGTGAGTTAGGACGGACCTTTTTCAGCTCGCTGCCCTCCACCTATGATACACACAACCACAAAATGGCCACTTAGGTAAACACAGTCTGGATCAGTGAAGTCGCATATAATTATTATTGTGCATGTACACGTGCAACCCTTGACAAATACCATACAAATACTAGTATGTTGGGGTGCAGAGGCTTTGGACATTTATTTTCTGTCATCTATTGAAGATCACAACTTCATCTTTCTCTTTAATTATTCCCGTTCATACACAATAACAAGGACAATATTAAATACACTCGTTTTGAGTTACAGTTATTGAATTTTGGTTTACAAACTGATTAGCAGAGAGATTAGCTTTCATAGTTTCCAGACTAACTTCTGAAGATAAAGCAATTCAATGAAATTCAGAACACAGAACAATCTAATCTCCAGGTGAGGTGGGGTGGACACACACACACACTATAACATATGCAGTAAGTAAGTAAGTAGTAAGTAATCTTTATTTATATACCGCCTTTTCACTGCAGATCTGAGTCTCAAAGCGGTTTACAATTGTTAATTTTGGGCATTTGGCTCTCACTCCACACAGAGATGGGAGCGGGGCCAGTACAGGAGGCGCATGCTAGAACTATTGGACATATTTTTAGTGGTAGGGGAAACCGGAGTACCCGGAGGAAACCTACCCAGACACAGGGAGAACATGCAAACTCCACTCAGAAAGGCCCTGGTCCGACCGGGATTCGAACCCAGGACCTTCTTGCTGAGAGGCGAGAGTGCTATCCACTCAGCCACCGTGCCGCAGACATACGCACATACACAATGCAGTCATACAAGCACACACACATTCATATGAGACGTGAAACATATAAGTCACCATGGCATGGATGCAATCGGCCGCACTGCTGATCTTTTTGTCAGACAGACTGCTGCTGAAAGACACGGTCTTCTTCCGGTCCCGAATGGAGCGCGAGCCCTCCTGAACACACATTTGATTAACATAAAATATGAAAACATCACACGTACATATGTATTCACACCCTTTGCTATAACACTCAGCTCAGATGCTCCTATTTCTATAGATTGTTGTTGAGTTTTTTTTTCTTTTTTTCTGCAATCTACCTGGACCACAGATGTTGTGCATTCTACTGGTCTAACTTGATTTGGAAAGCTGACAGTGACTGTCTGGGTGGAAAACAGGCAGCAGAATTGTATATGGAGGCACATATCTAGAGGAGGATACAAAAACAATGGAGCAGCATTCAAGCAGCATTCTAGTAACGTTGCCCCACTTTTGTCTGCATGCCCACAGCCCCGTTCATTCCTGAGCGCAGGTCAGTTCACTCGCCAGCTAAACCTTCTATAAATTACTTTCTATTCTAATATCTTATGAATAATTTTCCCAATATTTTGATCGATTTGTAGATGTATATCCTCCACATGTACATACTTTATTTTTACGTTTTTGTTTCAAGATGTTTTTTTTGAAGTCCTATGGTGTAATCAACCAACGGGCTTTATATACTGGAACTATCATGGGCCTTGGAGTGGAAAAGCAAGCAAAGTGGCTCGCACAGGGGGCCAGAGCCAGAGGATTGTGTTCCACTCAAAGGAAAACTACGCAGACCAAGACCTTCTTGCTGAGAGTCAAGAGTGCCTTCATGCCATTATGCAACTTCAAATGTTTTGCATATTTGATCTTGTTTGACCCAGTGGCCGTAAGAGTGGGCAACATAGTGCCTTGAGAGCATTTCGATAGAAGAGGTGGTGGTTATGCCAGTTTGGGTGAGGAGTTTCTGAATGATGTGGTTGAGGCTATGACCACTCTACATCTGTTTTTTCTCCGTATACAATACATAGTGTAATCAGTAAAGCCCAAGGATTACTGCTCATCGGAATACAATACGCTGTGCACCTGTATTTGAGGTGCACAGCGTCTACACGACGATGGAAAACAATGTAGTTCTAGCGGCAGGCCAGTTGTGGGCAGTGCAACTTTACAACACGACACGCACGACCCGCACCAGTATAATCACTTCCTCAACAACATCCTCTTCAGGCCTCGGCAAAGACCAACATGATTCTGCATATAACAGTAGCAGCAAAAATGAAAACTGAAACTACAGCTGCACATGGTTTCGTTTGGACGGACGAAGGAGTAGAATTGCTCCTCCGAGTAGCACTCAAAGCACATGTAGCATTATTTGATCTGCAGCCATTGCTGTTTACAATTATTCTCGGATGTCTCAAATGTCGTGCAAGGAAGTGGTGAGGTCATTGCAGCCAGAAAATTCACACCTTGTTATTTACATAGCTGTGACACAGCCCCCTGCCGCGCAGTGTATCTGTTCTGTTTCACTCTGTAGGACGTATCTCAACGCTAGCATTTTCCCTCCCTTGAAACAACTTCTGAAACAACGTCTTTGTGTAAAGAAAAGGCCAATCCGATACCTATCTCTAACGCTGTTAGATTGTTGCAGCGTTCTTGTGTAAACGCCCTCTGAAGCTCTAATCCGCTGCCGCTACTGTTGCCTTTCCATTGTTTTGAGTTTTGCTCTTCACCATCACACCATTAATCACACCAAATCCTGCTTCTGCCCGGTAACAAAGAAACACGGGCAATCAGATAAAATTATGAGCTGTCAATCAGAGGCCACCCATCCGAGTGGCCCATGGGTTTTGATAACATCAGGTAGATATGGAGGAGGGATAATGATGGCTGACTGAAGATATAACATTACAGTCAAATTAAATGAATAATAAAATATGGATTCATTTTCCATGGCGTGTTTAAGTTTGAAGGATAGTAGAAATAAGACAAGCTTTCGGGATTAAACATGACACATTAATGATCATTGTCAATATGTTTAGTGGTAAATAATCTATGTCTAACTGGGATTCCTTCCAGCACAAACAGTGATAGTGAATGGAAGCTCGGACTCTGCTTACATATAATAAAGAAGGTTTAATGTAACATACCTGGCAAGGATAAGTTTGTGTAAGCCCTCAGTCGTACAGGGATTAGTCAAAGCAAAGGAAGGTTTCTCACCCATCATCTGTACTTCTTAGCAAGTTTTCCCGAAAGTCTGCTGGTTTGAGGACGAAACGTCGGGAAAACTTGCTAAGAAGTACAGATGATGGGTGAGAAACCTTCCTTTGCTTATACCTGGCAAGATGGAATAGCAAAATGACCCAGAACACATTAAGCATTGGGGTCTTATAGTATTTAGGATGTGTCGAAAGACACACACATGTATTCATAGGTACTCATACGGAGTCTCATGATATAGGTGCTGTTCTCACATGAGGGTCCAATTGTCTTCCCATATATCACGTCAGTCTCATGACTGAGAGAAGGGTCAGCAGTATCAGAAATAGGACTTAAATATCCCAACACATTTTTATACATATGAAGCCATAAATGGCTTGGTTCCCACTTATCTTCAAGACATGAAGATAAGTGACACACGTTAATGTCTTATCAACCAAGCCGAGCACTGCGCTCGCAAAAGGCCAGACGTCTGGTGGTCCCTAAGGTTTCAAAAAGCAGTGTCAGTGGCAGAGCACTTAGCTACCAAGCTCCTTTACTGTGGAATCATCTCCCCACCCACGTTAAGGAAGCAGACACGGTCTCTACATTTAAGGCCAGGCTTAAAACACTCTTCTTCAACTTAGCATTTGGTTAGGTTGTTTGTCCGGTCAGGTCTCGTCCAGTCTTGGAGTCTGCGTGTATGGGACCCGGTCAGCTGCATCTTCAACCCTACATTCTAGGCTAGACTAAAACAATCCTCTTTAGTTTAGCATATAGTCAGGAAGGTAAGACACAGGGAAGGCTAAACTCCTCAGACTGTCAGTCAAGCTACATAGGGAGTCAGTTTGCTGGGAGAAGTATGGTAACTTGAGTCCTATCCTCTCCTCCTTCCTACTTTATATGTTCTTTAACATTCTACAACATGTATGGACATTTTTTTTAAACATGTGTTCTATATTCTTTTTGTTTGTTGATTTTCTGATCTGTGTTGGTGATTTCAATGGTTTTGTTAAGTCCTCTGAGATAACTTCTGTTGTGATTTAGGGCTATACAAGAATAAATTGTATATTGTATTGTATTGTACTCATAAGTATATGTATTTCTTAATAATAATAGCAAACACTAAACAGTTTCTTTACAGAACACTGAATCAAGATGTTTATTTCAAAACATACAGTACAAAAACAAAACAACAGACACATATACACATGCATGTTTCGAATGGGGGCTCGAGGAAGCAGACGCTTTACAGTCATACACACACAAGCATGCATAAACCAACATCCACACACACAAACACACACATGCACACACACACACACACACACACACACACAGATGTTGGTGCAGAGAATTTCCTGTTCTCACAGTTACAATAAGCAGTGTGTGGAAACAGGCCCACCTCGCCTACGATCACTTCCTGTGGCTTTCAACCAGCAAACTTCAAACACATATACATTGCACTTACACAAAACACGCACTCTGCATGCACACACACAATGCACATACACAGAGATGTTGGACTTTTTGATAGTGCTGCACTCAGGTAAGAGTCTCTGCTTTAAAACGCACCATGAAAAAGAAGCATAGCCTTGTCAGTTTCTGACCATGTTATAATGACACAGAAGTCCTCTCATTTAGCCACTCCCACTTACCTTCTTTGATCTCCAATTTTCTTATCGCAACTTGATCTGTGGTCTGAGCAGAGCCTGTGAGCCTCAGCGAAAAAACAAACATTCACTCTTCCCCCACAGCTAACCTAACCCCATTTACACACTCACATATCTGCATTCTGTAACTATCCATTATCTTTCATTATTACTCAGTTCACACTGTTTACTGTCATGAACATGTATGATCAAGTAATGAAAGTGGTGCTTTAAGGATCTAAAAAGAGACCAATGCAACTTCCCAGATGCTCCCTGTTACACCCACAGCCCTGTTACACACACAGTCCTTTCCCATTTGACGCATACAGGCTCTTCCAGGTTCTACGTCGTAGTGCTACGCCCCTTAGGGCTACGCTGTGGGTATGACTCTTGAGGCACCAAACCACCGCCAGAGAGATCGAAGATCCAATGCTTCAATCCCGAGCGAGCTCCTCCTATCAATAGCCAAGCCCAGGCCTGCACTGCCACTTTGAACTCTGGCGCCGAGAGATCAACTTCAACTGCTAGTTTTCAACATGGACTTCGCCGGTGGACTTTGCCATGTCTCTGCCGTCATCTTCCCGTCCGAAGACCCCTTCGCCTGCCGGCGTTGGACGAAAGAAGTGTGGCAACTGCGCGGCAGGTCTACATCCCATGGACCAGCACGACCGCTGTTTCTTCTTCCTTGGCTGGAGCCACTTGGCTACCAGCGCTTCCTGCCAAGCGTGCCTCTCTCTCCCCAGGGAGGAGAGGAAGTGCCGCGATGCATTCGTGGACACCACCACTGCCCGCTCGAACTCGTCTCAGGAAGTGGAGTCCCCGGAGCAGCTCGCTGCACGTGACCCGTCTCCCGTGCCCCGTCTGGACTGGGGAGACTGCGACGTGGAGGAGGACCACAGTGACGGGGTCCTCACTCACTAATCGTCACGGTCGATGAGGTCCTGTCATGGATTGAAGGGTAGGACCCCTTCCCGCGTGACCACATGCCACGGCTCTTCCACTCCGCTTCCTGGTGGATGGAGATCTCTCTCCCACCTCAACCCACACAAGCGGGGGAAAGACTTTACATCGGTGGGAGCTCCGGACCGGGGACATAGCCGCCTGGAGCCAGCGCTGTGTCCACGCATGGACCCCATCTTCCACTACGCCACTCGTAATTGGCCCAAACCCCTCGGGGTCAGGAGCCCAGCTCTGTGGTACGGGCCACACTGCAATGTACACGAGTGGTCTTGGTCCGGGGGCATATCAGACATCAAGGACGCAGTGAGACTGGCTCTGCTTTCCGACTCATCCCTGTGGCCGCTTCTTCCCTCTCAGCAGGATAGAATGACGATGTTGCTGTCGGATCGCTGTAATGCCAACGCGGCTCAGGTCGTCGCGTCTCCCGGGCCCCGTCTGGACGGGGGAGACTGCGCCGTGGAGGAGGACCACAGTGACAGAGAGGGTTTGCTCGTTACGGCCGATGAGGCCCTGTCACCGCTTCCCGCACGACCACATGCCACGGCTCTTCCACTCCGCTTACCGCTGGATGGAGATTCCTCTTCCGCTCCAACCCACACTAGCTGGGAATAACTTTACGTCGGTGGGAGCTCCGGACCAGGGACATAAACGCCTGGAGCCAGCGCTGTGTCCTCCATATTTG